CATGCTGTGCTAATTATAAACATCGTTTCTTGTCTCTTAGAACCCATTCAAATCTTCAATTGAAAGTGATGACATTTTAGCTCGATTTCTACATGTATAAAATCTAAACATTAATATTATTTATCCTGATTTGTTCTAGTGAGGACTGAGTGCAAATTAGTGATTTTGCAGTGGTAAGGAATGATATCAAATCTTTAGATGTAAACGCATTCATTGTTACTAATCTCTTTATCTGTACAATTCTACCTGATATCTTTAACTTTTTACTGATTCTTTGTGGATTTTACATCATGAATCCTGATCTCACTCATCTCCTTATCCCTCCCTTATGAATCCTGATCTCACTCATCTCCTTATCCCCCCCTTCTGCCATATGCTCTTGCAACCCCCCCCCCAAAAAAAAAAACATGAAGCTGTACGGCCCAGTGAGTCACCCAGTATACACTTTGGTTCATACATTTTTGTTAAGTGTTCATTGCAATGAATCATTGGTCTGGTTTAAGATATCTGGCTTTTGATACACCCTCAATACTGGGCACTCAAGGACTCCTCTTGGATATTCTATTGTTGCCTTGTGTCATGGAGATCCTGTAGCTTTGGATCTGTAGGTTTGTCTCCTTCCAGTCTTGGGGTGGACTACCTGACAGTTTTGTTCTGGGCCTGGGTGGTAGCTGGGTCAGCCTGCCAGCTTTCCCTCACACCCAGGTGAGCTCTCCAAAAATGCCTAGGTTAGCTCACCCATTGTACCAAACAGCAAACAATGGGCCTAGTTCTCCTGCTCTCACACCATCAGGTCCAGGTCACCCTCACTATCTTGCTGATTCTTCTAACTATTGGTAAATTTGAGAAAGGAGATCAATATCCTTGAACACAAGTTTTATTTTATTAAGAAGATTAACAGCAAATCAGTGAATAAATCTTGAGATGATGTTTAGCATTTATCCAGAGGTGAGTGTAGAAGAGCTTACTATATCTTCTTAGAAGAGCAATAGAAGGTCGTTAAGAAAAACCCCTGGTCCAGTGGACAGAGCCTCTGTCCTGAGTGAACACTTAACCTTCTTTCTGGACCTGCTAAATCATCCCACCAAGGAAACACCACCAGGAAGGCAGGGTCACCTTAAGCCATGCTAAAGAGTCAGGCAGAATGATTAATTATTCCTCTAGCGAGGCACTGTATTTTGCTTCCCATAATTCCTGGCCCTTAACACTTTCTCCCCTCTCCTTGCCAGAAAACAAGTCTTCATGCTAAAATTCAAACAACGTGTGTTTTGTTTTGTTTTGTTATTTCCTCCTCCATCCTTCATTTTCTTCCTCTAATTATAATGAAAAATATCACTGGTGTGTTTATATTAACTTAAATCACTCATATCTGGGAAATTCTGTAACTTAAATTTGGTAATGCTGATTGAACATAGAAAGAATAATTTGTTGTTTTACAGGGCTCATATGAAATATGGTATAGGGAATTTTTTTCTTGTTGATAAAAAGTGAGGTCCCCTCTCTTCCTAATTAATAATTTACTAGAAGATATCTTATTTGTCTTGATTTGGAAAAAATGTGTTGTATTTGCCAAATGAAGATATTACTTTAAATGCCAATGAGTGGTTAGTGAAACTTCTCTCATTATTTTTATTTGAAAATTAAATGCCACATGCTTGGGATTTAGTGTCTGTAAGAAAAAGAGGCCATCAAGTTGATTTTGATTTTATTGGATCAATTACATATAATGTCAACAGTTAAGACAGCATTTTACCACCATTAACAGCATACCAACAATGAACCAAGTAAATAAATACTGATAAATCCTCTTAATCAATTAATTGACTTAATATAAAATATGAATGAATTCCTACAAGCCAAAAGGAAAAGATTCACTACAGTACCTACTTCAAAGTGAGTATGACTAGATGCCCCATTATTTCCTTCTTGGAATGCATGGAGAGACACTTCTTACAAATGGCTCAGAAGACTGTGGAGGGGGCTGACTTACATTTCAAATCGGAGACACTATTATTTTCCATTGAAACTGGTCTTGCATTGAAAGACTGTCATGGATAAGTGACCAAATCACGAAGAGAAATCTCCTGGAAGATTGTTTTCATGAAGAGTACCACTGCATGTAAAATATTTTACAATGAATAAGAAAGAGAGTATAATATATAAAATCCCAGTGTAAGTGACTGACAGAACATAGAAGTTTGAGTCAATGCATTTATATTGGCATTTATGAACTAATGACCAATTCTATAATGTTAAAGGAGCATGTACCTTTGGTTTTAATATATTTTGCATGTTTATACTCTATACACACAAAACTGAATCATTTTGCAACCCCAAATCACTATTGTACATAATATGCATAGTACAAAAGTCAACAACTTATAATTAAATGTTTACTATTGATTTTAGATGAATAAAAGTTTTCAATTGTGCAGTTTTATTAATTTTGCTTTGTAGTTCTTTATTTTCTGGAGTGAAGCAGTGTGTTGTTACAGAGCTTCTGGTAGCCAGAAAAATAGAAATTGGTGCTTTCGAAAGAAACTGCATCTCACTCCTGAGATGTGGGTTAGATACAGACTCTGTGGAGAAAGCAGTTGGATTCAAGGTCCCTGAAATTCTGCATGGGTGAATAGCATCGCTAAGGTACCAAATAGCTGTTCTTATAGGCAAAGCAAATATATCCACTAGATAAAAGATATAAATCCAGTGCAATGGTACAGAAAATGTTATTAGCAAGCTACCACTTCCCCCTTCCCACTTAATGGTAGTCATTTCTTCTTCCTTAGTAACTTTGTATTTTTGAGTATACAATGAATACTAATTCAGAAAAGTACCAGCAAATTGACCCAATGATTCTCTGGATTCCCTCAGAGTCTATGTCACCCTTTTTGGTCCTGATTTTGTTGACTTGGATGTCCTCTCTCTGCCTTTTAGTTAGTTTGGATAAGGGTTTATCTATTTTGTTGATTTTCTCAAAGAACCAACATTTTGCTTTATCAATTCTTTGTATTGTTCTGTTTCTATTTTTATTGATTTCAGCCCTGTTTGATTATTTTCTGCTGTCTAGTCCTCTTAGGTGTGTCTGCTTCTTTTAGTTCCAGAGCTTTCAAGTATGCTGTTAAGCCACTAGTATGACATCTCTCCAAATTCTTCATGAAGCCACTGAGTGCTATGAACTTTCCTCTTGGCACCTCTTTGTGTCCCATAAGTTTGAGTATGTTGTACATTCATTTTCATTAAATTCTAGGAAATTTTTTAATTTATTATTTCTTCCTGGATCCAGTGGTAATTCAGTAGTGAGTTGTTCAGTTTCTATGAGTTTTTAGGCTTTCTGTTGTTGTTGAACCCACGTTTAATTCATGGTATTCTAGAAAATATAGGGGGTCATTACAATTTTTTTAAATCTATTGAGACTTGCTTTATAGCCAGATATATGGTCAAATTGGAGAAGGTTCCATGTTTCGTATATAGTCAATTTTGGAGAAGGTTCCATGTGGTGCTGAGAAGGTATATTCTTCTTTTTTTTAAGATTTATTTATTTATTATGTGTACAGTGTTCTGTCTGCATGTATGTCTGCATGCCAGAAGAGGGCACCAAATCTTATTACAGATGGTTGTGAGCCACCATGTGGTTGCTGGGAATTGAACTCTGGACCTTTGGAAGAGCAGGCCGTGCTCTTAACCACTGAGCTATCTCTCCAGCCCCCGAGAAGGTATATTCTTTTGTTTTGAAGACATGTTCTGTACATGTCTGTTAGGTCCATTTTAGTCCTAACAACTATTAGTTCCATTATTTCTCTGTTAAGTTTCTGTCTGGCAGATCTGTCCATTGGTGAAAGTGGGGTGTTGAAGCTCCCACTATTAATGTCTGGGTGTTGATTCTTGTGCTATCTTGGTTGGATGGGTGTTTTTTCTTTTATTATCTGATTCCTTTTTTGTCTTCTGGCTGAATGGCCAAGGGTTCTGGTGACTGGCAGGTCTTCAGGTCTAGTAGGGCTGGCTCAGCTGTTTGTGGGGGTTTGGGTGCCTTGATCCAGTGTATCCTCCTGTTCTTCTGACTGGTGTGGGCTGTACCTGTGATTGTGGAGTCTGTTCTTTCAACTGGTATGGGTTGTGCCTGTGTCTATGGAGTCTGCTGGAGTTTTGGGTAGGACTGGCCTTGGAAGAATGAGGTGTGTGGAGTTGCTGTTAGGGCAGGCCATGGGAGGATGTGTGTGGAGTGTGTCTTGGAAGAACCGAATCCAGTGGGTGGTGGTGGTGGTGGTGGTGCAGCCTTCAGGCAGATCTCTCACCTGCTAGACTGCTGCTGGGGACTGCACCAGAGTAGTGGAGTATCACTAGAATTAGGGGCAGGGCCCAGCTGCCTTGCTGTTGCTGAGATGGGAGGGGGAAGGGCATGGGTTGTGCCCTGGAGCTTAGGGTATGGAGGTTGGGGCAGTTCAGCTGGGAGGCCAGACACTCACCTATTCTTCCAACTGGTGTGGGTTGTGTCTGTGTCTATGGAGTCTGCTGGAATAGAGGGGAGGGCTGGCAATGAAGAGGAGGAGGAGGTGGGTGGAGTTGGGTGGTGCAGTGCACATCCTTAATTATTATTATTATTATCAGCTCTCCAAGGAAAGAACAGTAAGTTCCTAATACTGGGTAGAAAATTTTCTGGAAGTCTGATTGATACAGTTTGGTCTGAAGTCATTTTCCAGTCCTTTGATGTGGCTGGGAGGGAGATACCATTAGAGAGTATTTCACAAGAACTTCCCATCCCATCTCAGATCAGGTGAGAGTGTCATGCTTTTATTACCCATATCTCCAATTAAATTATTTCTTGACACACCACACAGTAAAATATTAGTTTATATCTTCCTTCTCTACAGGACAGAACCGGTGAAAGTCAACCAATACCTCATCATGATGGGTGATATTTGGCTGCGCCTTCTGTGCACGAGCAGACACTCAATTGAACCTGGCTGCCTTCTTCCGCCCGCACCGCGCCTGCGCAGCCCGCCGCGCCTGCGCTCTTCCCTCTGCAGGCGTCTCCAGCCCAGGAGGCTTGGAGGACTCCTGGGTTAGAGAAGCCCCTCCCTCCGTGGAGGCTGTTGTGTTCTCAGGGACCCGGCATGAACAGCAGCTCCGACTCGCCCGGGCGACCCACCATCGCCTGGTTAGGTCCAGGCCTCTTGGGGAGGGCCGGGTCGGTACTGTCACAACCGCCGGTGACACCAGCTCCCACCGGCCTGTGCGCACGAGCCCATACACACAATACAAGTACGCGTAATTAGGGAGACTCCAAAACAGTCCATGTCTCCAAGCCTCCTTAGATGGCTGCATGACATGTGTGTGAGGCTGGTAAGTGCCATCAGTTCACAGATGTCCCCTGTGTTTCAGAGACCCGTGCAATACTCTGTGGAGCCGCGCGAGGGTGCTGCCGGTCGAACCCGGGTCTTGCCATGGCTGGGGGCAGCCATTGTCTAGTAAGGCCTCTGGGGGGGAAGGAGAGGAAGCTTATAGGCAAGAGTGGAGATTCAGGATGGTTTAGCTGTCGCTGCAGCTGGCAGGGATCTGTGTGATGCTGGTCTCCACTGTGCAAATGATAATGTTTTAGCATAGCAAATATACGAGACCAATGTAACATAACTTCCACATCTGCCTGTAGGTTCCTGTTGCTGCATTTATAACTGCTACAAAAAATGCCACCATGTCACCAACATGAAGAAGAGAAAATTCTTCCTCAATGGCAAAGTCCAGAAGGAAACTACCCAGATTCTGGGACTCACCTAGCAAAGAGTTGTCTGTTGTGCCTTCCTACAAGGAAGAGAAACTGTAATTTCTACTTGACTTCATTCACTAATGGGTACTTCCCCCCCACCCCCCTTCGAGACAGGGTTCCTCTGTGTAGCTTTAGAACCTGTCCTAGAACTCACTCTGTAGACCAGGATGGCCTCAAACTCACAGAGATCTGCCTGCCTCTGCCTACTGAGTGCTGGGATTAAAGGCCTGTGCCACCTCGACTGCCCTCTAATGGGTTCTTTGAGAAGAAAGGGAGTCCTGCAGTGTTGACAGTCACTGAGAGAAGTGCATGGTTGGCAGCTGTGATTGGGAAGAGGGGAAACTTCTGGAAAGACTGAAGTTTTCTAGAAAAGTCCTATGATGAGAACAAGGGACAATCTGAGAGAGAATGGCCTGAGTGACATCTCAGAGGGTTTTGGGTGGTGGCAGGCACATCTCCCTATGTGAGTGGAGTATGCTGGGCTAGCTAACTCATTTTCAAAAGCAATCTGTAAAAATATTTTTTTCCCTTTAGTGCCTGTGATGATGGATGAAGCCCGGAGCTACCTAGAAAAGAGACAGGTATCACTTTCAATGTTATATCTCTAGGTAAAGCTAAAGGAGGCCAACAGTTGTTGATCCCAGCTAGGTGCACTGTGGAGGCAGGCCAGGCATGCAGCATGCTACTCCAGAGTTAGACCACAAAGCAGGCTCTTGTCTGTCATACCCCCCCACCTTTTAACTCTCTTCCTTGGTGATCTAGTATAGACTAAGTGCCAGTGAATGTGTGCAGGCTCACTTCTGTGACATCTTTAAAAGGATATGTGTGTGTGTATTCATGTATAGAGATCCACTGGAGTCTTTATAACATAGTCTGGAGAACTTTTGTTTCTGGAGCGAATTCACATGGAATAAGCAAAACATTAGAGTATTAAAAAATTTAAGTTATAAACTCATCACATAAAAATCAAATAGTGTAGTCCAGCCCTCAGCAGAGAGTTGCCAATATTGGGTTATTTACATCTAAACATACATGCAGATGCTCAAACATCCTAGACAGGCATGCTACAGGGGCTGTATACCCAACCCTAAAAGATGTCTACTTTTTAAATGCTTGCACTTTTTATATTCAGAATCTCAGTAATTTATATCTCTCTTTGGAGTTGTCTTGGGTCAGTTAAAGATGTGAGATTTATAGCTCATCTCTTTCTACCTCTTTCTAGAAAATTCCTTATTTTGATTAGCTTTGTATTTAAGACACATTTCTTGACAGAAAGGGACTATTACAGATTCAAACATACCTGTGAGGTAAAGCAGAAGTGAACTGGGCTCCTCGTATAAGGAAAAGAAAGGGACCTCTTTCTCAGAAATGGCTCCTTCCCAGCCTGCCTTGGCATCTCAGATGCATGCCTCCTCTACTTGTATGGTCAGGAGCAGGCCTAATCATCATCTGTCCTGTTCCTCCAGAGCCCTTTTTATTTGATTTGATTTGTGTACTACTGTCTGCATGTGTCCCTACAGACACTAGAATACTTGTTGCTTAAATTATAACTTTGTTAGAGTTGGGCAGATGTCTTCTTAGTAGGTAACAGTGCTTGCTGGGCAAGCCTGATGACCTGTGTTCAATTCCTGAGAACCTACAGTGGAAGATGAAAACCAACTCCGTCAAGCTGTCCTCTAACCTTCATGTGTGTGCACACACAAACACACTATTAAAAATAAATTTGAGAGAAAAAGGTTTTTTGTCCGCCCCCCCCCAACAGGGTTTCTCTGTGTAGCTTTGGAGCCTCTGGAGACCAGGCTGGCCTCGAACTCACAGAGATCCACCTGCCTCTGTCTTCCCGGAGAGTGCTGGGATTAAAGGCGTGTGCCACCAACGCCAGGCAAGAAAAAGGTTTTTAAATTACAGTTTTACAGGCTGGCAAGGTAGCTCACTGGATAAAGAGCCCTGCTGCCAAGGCTGACCGTCTGAATTTGAACTTGGTAATTTACATGGTAGGAGAGAGCCGACCCCCAGAGGTTGTCTTCTGATCTCTTTATGTGCACCATAGTCATACCCCTGACATATACATGGATATGCATATACACACAAATGTTGAAGAAAATTTAAAATACTGTTATAACTTTATTAATCTCTATCATAATTTTATAAATTAAGATTAGTTATTTTTGCTTCTTGCAGAAACAGGATGATGGCAGTCAAGACCAGACTTCAAAGGCAAGTGTGTGTGCTTTTAGAATGCTGCTCCATAGGGAACTTGGAGTCACTTAGGACATGTGGCTTAAGTCCACTTGCTGGAGGAACCCAAGCTGCTCATTGCTTCCTGTCCCATCCTCACTCTGTCACTGCTAATAAAACACCCTGAGCAAAGAAGCAACTTCAGGGAGCAGGGGCTCACACTGCAGGGAAGTCACAAAAGTGGGAGCTTGAGTCAGATGGTCAGGTCACATCCACAGCAGGGGCAGAGAGAGACAAGTACACCCACACTGCCTGCCTGCTTGCTAGTTCTCTTCAGTCATAGTGTTCAGGCCTGGAGAATGGTGCCACCCACAGTGGGCCGTGTCTTCCAGTGTCACTTAACACTCAGGAGAATGCCCCATGGAAACGCCAAAGGCCCAGCTGTCACAAGAAGGATGAGCTGCAGTGGTGGTGTCTGTGCCCCAGTGAAAAATCCCCATCTGTGTGTCTTGTGGACTCTGAGTTAATGCTCACCTTTCTGTTTGTATTGATTATGTATATCTTGACTGACAGATGCTAGCTGTATATGTTTATGGGGCACAATGTGGGATTTCAGTACATGCATGTAGCATGTTCTGATCACATCGGAATAACTCACATCCCTGACATCACTCTCCAAGCTAACTGTATTCTGTCCTTTATATCATCAACAGGTCACTTTCAAATATTCCCAGAAATATTGAAGTGACAAAGTACGAGTGATAACACTGGTACAGAACCTAGGGAAAGGTGGTGCTGTTAGGATGGTAATAACTCACATTTTTTTTTCAAATATGAGGGGATTTGATAGCGTTTTTCAGCTAATAATACCACATATCAAATAGCAGTGTTTGAAGTTATCACCACTTTATATTTGATTTGATAAAGTATAAGGTTCATACTCTGTTTGTAATACACTAGATGACTTGTTTGTGTAGTGTCATGTCCTCTTTGCTGAAGCTAGAGTGACTGCTCACAAGGACAGCACGATCTAGTGTGTTATACTTTCCCTTGTGGATGTTTTTGGCCAAGGAAGGCCTGTCAGATAGAAAAAGAGTTAAAGTGGAAAGAGAGACCAAATACAAAGCAAAGCAAACCATTGCACATGAAAGGAAATACAGATAAGGTGACTTAGAAGCCTAGAACCAGCAGTGTGGCCTCCCGCTAGCTCTCCTGGTTGTCAGCAGAGACCCTTTTCCTTAGGAACACAAAGTGACTTTTAGAGTGTTCTGTCACCTCCACATTCCATATTAATGGTCTTAACTATAAAAAAGACACAGATTAACAGAATGGATACAAAGACAGAATCCATTCTTCTGCTGAATACAAGAAACACACTTCAACTTCAAAGACAGTAACTCAGAGTTAAGGGTTGGGAAAAGATTTTCCAATAAATGGACCCAAGAAACAAGTGGGGGTAGCAATCCTAATAGCTAACAAATTAGACTTCAAACTAAAATAAATCAAAATTGATGAAGGAAGTCATTTCATATTCATCACGGGAGAAATCCATCAAGATGAAGTTTCAATTCTAAATATCCATGCCCCAAATACAAAGGCATCCACATTCGTAAAAGAAACATTACTAAAATTCAAATCACACATAAAAACTCACACACTCATAGTGGGAGACTTCAATACCACTGGACAGAACTGCCAGACAAAAACTTAACAAAGAAACAAAGGAACTAGCAGAAGTTTTGACCCAATTGGGATTAACAGACAACTATAGAACATTCCACCCAAACACAAAAGAATATACCTTCTTTTCAAGGCCACCTGGAACATTCTCTATTCGTCCACATACTCTCTAACATAGCAAACCTCAACAGGTACAAAAAATTTGGAATAAGTCCCTGTATCTTTTTTTGTTTGTTTGTTTTATTTTTTTGTTTTTCGTGACAGAGTTTCTATGTGTAGCTTTGGAACCTATCCTGGCACTCGCTCTGGAGACCAGGCTGGCCTCAAACTCACAGATCTGCCTGCCTCTGCCTCCCGAATGCTGGGATTAAAGGCGTGCATCACCAACGCCCGGCCTCCCTGTATCTTTTTTTATTTAAATTCTTTAATTACTACTCATATTTACATATCCATCCCCCCATTCCCTCGCCCTCCCATCCTCCCTTGTTCCCCACCCAATCCCCTAAACCCACCCCCGACTCCTCCCCAGGGATAGTGAGGCCCTCCACCAAGGACCTTCAAAGTCTGTCATTGTTTTGGGGGAGGGTCTAGGCTCTCCTTGATGTTTCTGGGCTGCAATAGTATGCCTCCATTGGGAATGGGCTCCCAAAGTCCATTTGTGCTCTAGGAATAAAGACTTGCTACACTGGTAGAGGTCCCAATAGACTGTCTTGACCTCCTAGCTGGTACCCACATTCAGAGGGCTTAGTTTGGTCCAATGTTGTTTTCCCAGTTTTATGACTAGGGTCTCCACTCTATCAGTGAAAGATCCCCAGACCCCTAAGGGCCTCAGGATCCCGAGGAGCCCCCGAGACTCAGAAACCAGACCAAGAGCTGCAAAAGCAAGAGGGTTTATTGAACGAATGTGCATTTGGGTGTCAGCAATATCGGGGAAGCTGCACACCCCAGCATGGGGGGGGGCAAGCTCCTTATATAGGAAAAAAACGCAGATCAGCATACAAGCAAGGGGCACAAAGTGATTGATTACAAAGTATGATCTCGTGTTAGAGTGGTCACCCAGGTGTGACCTGCTTTTCTACAAAGGAAAAACCATAGAACGTACCCTGAAAAGTTCCTGATTGTCTGTTGGCCAGCTAGGTGTGACCCAAAAAGGATTGTTTGTCTGCCCTCGGGTTGGGGCCAACTTCCTTGTCCTGGGCCAAGGCCTGTGGGAAACTTTCTCTGAACCAAAATCTTTTAAAACTTTTTCTCTCAGCAAACTAAAATCTTTCATCAGTACTTCAAGTCCACTGTTTCTGCAGGTCTCTCCAGCGCCGTCTTGACTCCTTTGCTCATCCCTCCTCCCTCTCCACAACTGAATTCCAGTAGTATGGTTCAGTGCTTAGCTGTGGGTGTCTGTTTCTGCTTCAAACAGCAACTTGATAAAGGTTTCCTTCCTATTCCTGCCCCCGGGCTCCAGTTTGGTCAGGGGTTCTTGTCCCCATCCCCTTCGTTGAGGGACTATGCAATCTTCTCTTGGGGACCTCCTTGTTTCCTAGCTCCTCTGGTAGTGTGGAATGTAGGCTAAAGTGATCCTTTGCTCTATGTCTAACAATCAAAAATGAGTGAGTACATACTGAAAGGTTCAGGCATTATGCTGGCCTGCCCCTGTTACCTGGTGGAACAGGCAGTTCCCTGGTCAGCCCAAGGTTCCATGGGAACTAAGTCTGCCTGCAGGTGCAGAGGAACCCTTTAAAAAGACAGATCCCTGCCCATTTACTCTCTCTGCTTCCTCTCTGCTTCCTCGCTGCTTCCTCTCTACTCTCTCTCTCTCACCTATGCACTCGCTCTGCCTCTCTATGGCGACCGGCTATGGCGGTCAGACATTATCTCTGTTCCTCTCCTCTTCTTAGTCTCCCTACTCTGCTGGGCCTTATAATAAACTTATAGTCAACATGTCTCATGTCTCAGCATTTCTCTTTTCTTCTTTTTAAACAAAAGAATAACACATACCATGTTTATCTTTTTGTGATTGCGTTACCTCACTGAGGATGGTTTCTTCTAGTTCCATCCATTTGCCTGCGAATTTCAAGATTAAACGCCCCCCCCCTGTTGAGTAGTACTCCATTGTGTAAATAAACCACATTTTCTCTATCCATTCTTCAGTTGAGGGGTATCTAGGTTGTTTTCAAGTTCTGGCTATTACAGATAATGCTGCTATGAACATAGTTGAACATACGTTCTTATTGTATGAGTGTGCATTCTTTGGGTATATGCCCAAGAGAGGCATTTCTGGATCTTGAGTTAGACTGATTCCCATTTTCCTGAGAAATCACCATACTGATTTCCAAAGTGGTTGTACAAGTTTGCACTCCCACCAGCAATGGGAGTTCCTCTTTCTCCACATCCTCTCCAACATAGATTGTCATTGGTGTTATTGATTTTAGCCATTCGGACCAGAGTAAGATGGTATCTGAGTGGTTTTCAGTTGCATTTCCCTGATGGCTAAGGATGTTGAGCATTCTCTTAAGTGTCTTTCAGTCATTTTTGATTCCTCTATTGAGAATTCTCTATTTAGTTCTGTAACCCACTTTTTAATTGCATTGTTTGGTGTTTTGGTGGCTCGCTTCTTGAATTCATTGTATATTTTGGTGATCATCCCTCGGTCAGATGTGGGGTTGGTGAATATCTTTTCCCATTCTGTGGGCTTAATTTTGTCTTTCTGACTGTGACCTTTGCCCTACAGAAGCTTCTCAGTTTTAGGAGGTCCCATTTATTAATTGTCGATCTCAAAGTTTATGCTACTGATGTTATGTTCAGAAAGTGGTCTCCTGTATCAATTTTTTTGAGGGTACCACCTATCTTCTCTTGTAGGAGGTTCAGTGTGACTGAACTTATGTTCAGATCTTTGATCCATTTGGACTTAAGTTTAGTGCATGGCAATAGATATGGATCTAACTGCAATCTTCTACATGTCTGATCCAGTTATGCCAAGACCATTTGTTGAAGATACTTTTTCTCCCATTGTATAACTTTAGCTTCTTTGTCAAAAATCAGGTGTTCATTGGTGTGTGGGTTAATAGCAGGGTTTTCAATTTGGTTCCATTGGTCAACCTGTCATTTTGTGCCAATACCAAGCTGTTTTCAGGACTATGGCTCTGTTGCAGAGCTTGAAGTCAGGGATGGTGATGTCCCCGGGAGTTTCTTTTTTATACAGGGTTCTTTTGTCTATCCTGGGTTTTTTGTTTTTCCATATAAAGTTGAGTACTGTTCTTTCGAGGTCTGTGAAGAATTGTGTTGGGATTTTGATGGGAATTGCATTGAATCTGTAGATTGCTTTTGGCTAGATTGCCATTTTTACTATGTTGATCCTACCTATCCAAGA